GAGCCTGAGGAACCTCTGCTTGAAGAGTCCCACCCCAGCCTGGCACAACATCATGCTGCACCCAGGCAGCAGGGTAGGAGGCTGAGACCTCAAGACAGCGTGGCCCCAGGTGCCCAAAGGAGCTTAGCTATCAGCTTCACTGAAGCATAAACCAGATCACCCACATTAGCTGCTTCTTGCACAGGGCTTGTGAGTGTCATATGGGGCAGAAGGGGACAAGACAAGGCTTCAGTTTTGTTGCTTGAAGCAGTCTCATCCCCTGCTTCAAGCACCCCCAACCAAGCTGTAACTGAAGGGTCTCCTCACTCCTCTGGCTGCTTATCATAGCTTGAGCTATACCTCCATTTGAACACTGGAGAGAAATCACACTCCTTTTACTCTGACATAGAACAAAAAAAATGTTTTTATTATTCTAATCTTGATAGATTTGCACACAAAAGCTGCTCCTCTTAAGGCCTACCCCTAGCATCAACGCTGTAAGCTGCCTCCAGCCCCTCCTGCCTGGCAGCCAGTCCATCTCTGACCAGAAGATCAAAAGAGCAAGTGAAAGCTCTTCTCCTTGTTCTGCACTAAGTGCTCCTCCACCACTTCAGTGCTTATGAGAGATAATTACTGGCAAGGACTGAGAAGTGATGTATTCAGGCCTTAGCTTTGTAGCCCTAACAGATCATCAGAACCAAGTAATTGCTAAGGAGAGAAGTCTCCGTGTGATGCTACCTTCCTGGTTCAGTGAGAGTTGTGTGTTCTGCTGCATTAAAGCAGCTGAATTGGTTTCTCACCCTCCAGACCCCAGCCCTCCTGAACTCACACCCAGCCACCCTGCAGGCTCCAATCCCCTGGTCACTGGTGGGGTTCTCAGGGCAGATTTAACATCCTATGGCAACACCAGTGGAGAGGGAAGAGCCACCACAGCATCGGCTGAAGAAGTGGAGCAAAGGGTTCAGATGCACCATACCAGGGATAAAAAAAAAAGCCACGCAACCCACACTGGCAGGCTGAGCCTCCCTTTCCCACCAAGCCAAAGAAAGGTTTTACTTCAAGGCCACCCTCATGCCTCTCTCCATTCCTGCACCCATGTAGAACCCACAAGAAATGTCACTGAACAGCAGAGTTCTGCAAATGTGAAAGCAGCTTGAACCAGCATCAATGCTTTCCTGCTTTCTCTTGCAGCCTCTACTCATAAAACGCTGCTGAAAAGTGTGGTTTTGTTTTTCACACTGTCAGGCCAATCTGGTGGCCACACAGGGATTTTCAGTTTGTTCCCTCTGAGTTTGCTCCTTTAAGTACATTACAGCTGTTACAATCTTTTCTTGCTGATTGCTTCTGCACATGTGAAAACATCCACACATTTTCTTTTCCTACTTGTCTGCCTGTTGATGAATCTCTTTCCTGCATGATTGAAAGGCCTTGGTGGTTTTTGACAAAAGTATGAGATCTCAATTTAACCTTCCACCTATGGCAAGTCAAATACCAGCCTGCACCACTGGGAGCTGTAGACACTAGTTTCCCTAAGATGTTGGCAATACTTAATGCAGAAGACTTCAGATTAAGAAGCATTAAGGACAATTTTTCGGTGTGTTTGCCTTAGAGGTAAACACAGACACAACAAACCACTGCTCAATGGAAAATCAGTGTGGCGTGGAAGGGGGATATCACCAATGAATAAGCTAAAGCATGAACCTTCATATGAGCTGTGGTCCAAGACCCTGTATACCCAATTCCCAGCAAGTCCATCCCATTTATCCTCTATTTTTTACTGAATACATCACTAGGCCCTTCCTGGCTGAGTCCTACAGCTGCTGTGGCTCAATGCCCTGTATCTGTTGTATGCAATGCTAACAAGTTGAAGGTGTCAAACCAAGGCTGCCTATATACAGTGGCTGTGAATAAATCAGCTTTTAGTGCCTCATGGTAACCTCCCAGGCATTAATACAACAAGAACAGAAAAAGCACATGTCATTCCCAGGTCAACTCACAGCAACTTCCATGAGCACCTTGCCATGACCACTTTATACCAGTGGTTTGCCCCTGAATTTCCTGCAGTCTTAGAAGGATTTTGCAAGGTTTGGTGCAAGCCTTAAAAGTGACAGCAGTGACTAAACTACCTGCATTCCTCCAGGTGCAGAAGAAGCTTGATGCATCCATCATCTGTACCACTGATCTCAGCTCTGAAAAGTGCTTGCATGCAGCTATTTCCTCATTCCAGCAGCTAGAGGCTCTGCTGCTTTGGCAAAGGAAGGATCTCCACAGGCATGAATTTAAATATAAATGGAAAGCACAAGCAATTCCATGCCATGGAAAGACTCTGTGTGCTCAAACAGATGGATTTTACAGCCTGAAATATTGCACTTCATTGTCTTGCATGGGCAGAGTCCAAGCTTCATTATGATACGAAAAACAGCCAGAGGTTCCTGATGGGCTGCCATTCTTTTTTTTTTTTTTTTAAACAAGAAAACAGCCAGTGTGCAACCTCAATGTGAGGAACTCTATTGGACACAGAGGACAACGCTCAGAAGTCAGCCTGGGATCCAGGCTAGTCAACATGTTCTCTTCTGCTTGTCCAGTCTGCTCTTGTTCTTTGGGGCAGAGTGCCTCAACTTTTTGCTCCTGGTACCTGCCTCACCAAGGAGCAGTGAGACAGGTAAGCCTGCAGCAGTGCAGTTCAGTTTTCTGCATTGGACCAGTTACCTTCCCTACATGCTTCCAAGAAACAGAGAAACCCTTGTCAAGTCAAGGGTGATGCAGGGAAAGGCTGTCCAGACCAGCAGGAGGGTCTCACAAAGTTCTCCTAATATCTAACAGATCCTCTTTCATAGCACTTTCAGTAAAAAAAAAAAAAAAAAAAAAAAAAACACACAAAGGGCTGCCAATGCTATAGAAGCAGCCGTCTACACAGAAGCAATGTTGCTCCAAAGCAGCATCAACTCTGGTAAACACTCAGCAATGTTGTCTTCTGTCCCATCAACACGGAAATGGGACACGGTGTTTGGGTCTGCAAGCCAGTCTGTGTGTTCAGGGTCTGTTCACATTTAAGATCAAGCGCCACCAGGAATTTATGATGAGAACAAGGCACAGGAGTACAGCAGCACCTCTGAGAAGCCTCCTGAACTCAGGGCTGCCACAGCCACATGGCTCCTGTGCATATGTGCAAGACACGGGCTGTTCGTACACCCACTTCACAGCCAAATACCTCAGCTGTGACTGCTTAACTAGCTCAAAATAAGGCACAACACAGAAACCACTTCAAGTCACACAGGCAAAGCATTTGCCAAGCTGTGACTCTGGTGCAGAAATACCTGCACACCCTGTCCAACGTGATCCTTAGCACAGGACCACTGGTGCCTGGAGAAAGCAGCATTTATTTATACAGGGAAAAGGAATGTGGAGCTTACGCAGCTCCCTGATGCCTGAACAAGACGGGCAGCAAGCAGGTAGCACAAACACAAGCATCCTAATGCACTGACAAGAATCAACTGCTTGAGATACCCCTGCACAGCCCTGCTTTCGCCTCTGGTTGTACAAGGTACACGATGAACGGAGCAGCAGCCACAGGTTTAGGTAGGGCTGGGAATCGATGGCGTGCTGCTTTGTTAGCTGCCATGTAACACCTTCAGTACAAGCTGTGAGGACTGCACACAGACCCCAGCTATTTATTTTTTTTTAAACAACAAGGAACAGCAAACTGCTATCAGCCAGGACAGAGACAGCCTGCAAGCTGTTTCCTTACCTTCTAGTCCCCTTTGACCCCACTCCCAAGGGGATAGAGCCACCACCAGGGCACAACCAAGCACCAGTCTGGGAGCTGCTGCCTGCTCCTTCCTCTCTTTCAATGCCACCAGCCTGTGTGGCAGGGAGCAGGCTTCCTCCAGCAGAAGTGCTCCCAATCCACAGACTGAGGGACATAAATATTGCTGTTCCATGGCTGAGCAGCAGAGCCGCTCCTTGGGACAGTGCCAGCATTCCACAAACTCCTTTTATTTATAGCTTCTGTGACAATTTGTCTTCCTAAAGCTGCCACTGTATTATATCTATTATTTAATGTTTTGTCTCAATGATACTCTGTAATTTATACCAGCCCTTAATAACACATTAAAATCTTGTGCTGTGTTATTTTCTTTGCCATTGTGCTTTTCAAGAGCATAAGTAGATTTAGGCATAGATTTAGAGCATCCCCTGTATATCCAGACCTGGGGTAGTGACTCTCCTGAAAGTTAAAAGCACTGGAGCTCTGCTGGGGAAAAATTGCCAGGAGAGCCCTGCTCTACCATGACTAGAGGAGCAAAAGCAGATGGATTTCCAACCACTATAATGGAAGCCAAAGGGAAGGGGACAGGTAGAGGCCAGCTACTGGGGCAGAGATGTCAGTCTTAGCAGCAACGTGATCTTTTACTGTCTTTACATAAAGTATTCCTGCTTTTTTTAGGGTGAGGTACAAATATTGACTTTAGGACCTAGAAACAAGCACGGTCTTGAGGAATTCAAAACATGAAGTTATTGTTTTTCCAAATGGCAGCTTCTTCATAAAATAAAACCTCTCAGGTATGTTTGTTCCCATTAAAATCATATAAAAAACTATGATGCATCTTCAAAACCTGGGGCCTTGAAAGCCTTCCAAATGTGGATCAAAAAGATGACATATTTTCCAAGTCTTTGAGGAAACAAAACCAAAGCCAGAACACAGGGCCTATCCTAGCAGCAGGACCAAACTGCATTAGGGAGAACTCTGAAGGATCCCAACCTACCATCACACAAGCCCTAAGAGTCAACCTAAGTACCCTAAACATACCTGACCAAGCCCCACAGAGACTCAACAACACAAGAGCTCTGCAGTTACACAACGTTCCCACAGGTTCAACATGCAGGAGAGATGTCCCCATGTTTTGGAGCAGGGCTGTACGCTACCTGACATACCTGAACACTACAGATACCAAAGAACATTACATGGCCAGCAATAAAGAAATAATACAAATACAGACACAAGAAAAACACTTAAATCCTACCTTGAGTAGATCTCCATCTCTTGCAGAGACCACATGAAGACCCAACAGCCATCCTCCATACAAGCAAAGTGAGGCAGCATCACAACCACCCTACAGACTGGTTCCTTATAAAGGTCTCAGGGAGACCAAAGCCACTCTCCCACCTTGTACTTCCCACCACCCTTCATTTTTTTTCTTACATCATTAAAGTGCTTGGCATAATTGGGTTTTAATGTTAGCAGCTGTACCTATTATCTGTTTAAATCCTAAATAATTGTTACAATTAATGTTGCCTTGCCTACCCTGTCTTAAGAAGTGTTTGTTAGGGAAGGCAATGTTATATGTTAATTAACTTGCTACCAAATTTCGGTATTTAATTACATATTCTAAATCTGTTGCTATTTCCCCATGTAAGCAGGTAATGAGCCAGGGTCAATTAAGTGTGTGTTAACCTGGATCCTGGTCTATTGGCATGATGAGGATAAAGACATTTATTATAGCAAAAGCCAGCCAAAACCAAAGTACCATCAGCCCATTTTTTTGACCAGTATCAGCTGACAATTCCTTCCCCTGATCCAGCACTGCCTGCAGAGTACAGGATCAAGCACACTGTATTTGTATTAATTAAACCAATGAGCAATGGGAGACTCCTGGGTGTCTGGGTGTGTTGCAGAAGCCAGTGCAGCTGCTGCAGGCACCTGGGCTGGGACTGGAAGTGGGAGCAGCCAGCTGGGGCTCAGCGGGGATTTACAGCACTCTGCCCCATTACAAAGACCCTGCTTGGCTGCAGCTTGATGACAGAACCCATTATCCACCAGTGATGTGGAAAAGCTCAGGATATTAGTGAGCCTCGGGGTCCTTCTGTGGGTTTGGTTGAAAAAGGATCTGGAAAATGACGCTGTCAAATAAAATATGGGAGGCAGGGACCTGTCCCTGATCTCCCACTCTTCTGTTCAGGTCTTCAGTGGTCACCCAACAGGAAACCACCAAAACATGTGGCTATGAACAGGCTGTGGCTTGTGCAGCTCTGCTGCTGAGGGCTCTTATTGTACTATTAGAAATACCTCTTGCTACAGCCACGAGGGTGACATATAGCCAAAACCAGAGCTAGAGCAATGAGAGAGAAAGAAATTGGAGCAGGTGGCTTGTGGTTGTTTATTTATTTATTTTCCTCTTTAATAACATTCTCATGCCCTAGTTTTCTCCTGGAATTCTGATGAAAAAAGAAAATAAAAAATAAAGATACCATTATTTGCTCTGAGCTTTCGTAGGAAAGCAAAATGCATTTCTCAGTCAGGTTATCCATCTCCCCCTGGAGCTGCCTGCCCATCTCAGAGCACGGGAAGAAATGAGCTTTCACTGCAGCAGCCCAGAATTAATGCACAGGGTCACCCAGCCACCTCCACTGTAACACAGCCACGGCCGAAACAGATGTGTCGAGGCACACGTCAGGATGGTTCCCTGCAGCATCACCCCCATCCCACCTGCCCTGGCCTGCAGAGGGGAGCAGTTACTGCTGTGGTTTCCAGCACCAAAGGTCGGCGCTGCTCCTGTCCCATGCCCACTCCCCTCGGAGCTGCAGCACAGAGCAGCTCAGGCACCAGCCGGGCCAGCAACTTCCAGCAGGATTTTAAGAAAGTGGCAGTTTCTTAAGAAATCTGTTCTCTGAGCTTGGTTTGAACTGGGAAGACAAGCTAGCAGGTGCTGTCCTTGGCAGAAGCATGCAGAACCACAAGAATTAACCCTCCAAGATGTCTCTTTTCTCAAAGGCGACAGCACCGCTCACTCACTTGTGTTAGGACACCCTTATTTTGGGAGTGCTTGCATCCACATGGTCCCACAGGCAAGCATGTGAGCACTCTCATTTTTGGCCATTCCCCTTCATGCAGGCACATGCACCCTCACTGTCAGCCCAACACAATTCTGTCACAAATTTTTTCTCTCTGCAACCAGGGCTACCCCTGCCTGCTCTCCCTGGGCAGAGCTGCGTTTCCAGCACAGGGAACCGCTGGTGATGAATATTAATTGCTTTAACATCTTGTTGTGATAGGGCCAAGCCCATTTTGCTGCTTTGGCTCGTTGCTAGGGAACTGAGAAAGGCAAGTCATGGGTTTTGGTGCTCCGGGCCACCAGGGCTGCAGAGCAGCGGCAAGCTGCAGAGCAGGATTCGCCTGATAATTATTTAGAATCTAATAAAAGAAAGGGCGAGAAAACAATGGTTTTTCTCTCTTCTCCCGGATCGGCTTTCAGACTACATGGGGTCATTAATCCCCAGAGCCAGGCAGTTTCTCGGTTGCACGATGCCTGCCTCACCCCGCCACAGGACGAGGACGCCCCTGCTTGCTCAGCAGCGTGGTGCTGAGCTGCACCTCGCACAACACCGTGGCGAGTGGCTATATTTAAATTTAATCATCCGGAAATTGCAAGCATAATGCTCTCTCATTTCGCTTCTAATTTTAGATGTAAACACAGCAGAGAGTTGATCTCATCCCAGCACCTCCACCAGCCAGCATTGCTGCCGGGGGAGCTGCTGCCCTGAGCAGGGGCCATGCTGGATGCTCTGAGCCCTCCGTGCAGCACAACCAGGCTGGATCCTGCTGGAGATCTCCAAAGGAAAGCTGCTGGGCCTGGCTCGCTGCTTTTTCTCCACCACTGAAGATGCCACTTGGGCTACCCTGGCCCTACAGCATTAAGATTATTGTCCAAGCAGCAGGGATGACCTGCACAGGTTTCTGAGCAAAGGTGCTTACATAAAGCCAAGGATGCTAAAGGATAAACTGTCTGCATCCCCACCTGTGAGTGCGCCATAAATACCAGCCAGACGGAGCAGAGAGATGCAGGGTGACTGCAAATATCCTCTGTGGACTCACCAGCTGGAGAGCTTCCTCTGCTGCCCTTCCCTTGGAGGTTAGCCATTGATCCCTGCCTTGGCTAGAGGGCACTTGCCTTCTGGACACCTGCTGCCACTGGCTGTGCAAGGGAGCAGGAAAGGGGCTGCCCTTGGGGACAGATTGCCACAGGGAGTGACAAGCACTTACATACTCTGTCTCCTGTCCCTGGAGACTCAAAGCAGAAGATGCATCCCCATGCTGATGAAGCTGGGGGTGGATATTGTATCACTGCACTCTGCATCCAGGGGCTCCTAGCCACCAGAGGCACAGGGAGGTTGAGCCCCAGGAGAGCTTGCAGCAGTTCTCAGACCTAGAAAACCCAGGGTACATCTGGGTCCTACTCTAGGCTACCACATCAAATCCACCTCCAGGCTTCAGCAGCACCCCAGCACCATCTGCTGAGGCCATGGTCCACACCACAGACTTTAAAGGAGGACAAATGGGCAAGGACAGGGTTCTCTCATCCCTCCCTCCTCATGGTAGAGGGCATAGGAATGAGAGTATGAATTCTTGCTAACAGCTGGTTTAATGTTGTGTAAACAGGTGCATCTGGTTGAGCATCACTTCCCTGGATCCCCCACACGGCCAGCACCACAAATAACAGTGTTTTGTCAGCGAGACGGCTGGCTGCTGCCAGCAGGAGACTCAGAAATGCCAATTGTAATTACTGCATTTATTCTGAAATACAGTCCAGACCTCATTCCCAATAAGATGCATCGTGCCACTAAGCATGTGAGCCTCGCCTGAGCCAAGTGCAAATGTGCTTGGCTTTGAGAAACACACAGTAACCTATACCTTCATCTGCCATCCACATGCAGAGCGTGCGCGTGCTGCAGATGCTGAATCAAGACTGGGAGGGGGGCAGAAGTCTCACTGCTGCTCAAACAGCACATGAAGAAATAGGCTATTTCCAAAGTATTGATTGTCTCTCTCCTGCTTCTATTAGTTCAGACACGGAAAGGGCCTCTGCAGAAAATCACAGCCCTAGCAGGAGTTCCAGCTGGCTGAAGAAAATGAAGTGCCGGCTCACTCCCAGGAATAAGTAAACTTGGAGTTTGTCAGGACTGGGTAGATGCATCTGTTCACCTATGGCTTGTGGTTTTCACCTCCGCGGGCACAAGCAGGCCTGACATGAATGTCACGTCCATCAGTAAATGTCACCCAGCCAGACGAGCCCAGAAATCAAAACAAAGTTGGCACAAGCTGCGCCAAAGAGAGATCATTTCGGAGTCACTTGCTCCTTGTTCTGAGGCTCAGAATGGAGTCACAGGGCACAGAGCCTCAGCTCACATCACCTGGCGTCAGGGCAGCTGCTGTGCTGCTGCAAGGCAGTGTCCTGGGGGGCTGCAGTGCGGGTGGGCTGCCCCCGCTCCTGATGGCTTTGATGATGGCCATCGTGGGAGCATTGCTGTGCCTGCTCAGAGTGGACCCATTCATCTGGGACCTGCTTGAGTTGGTGTGTCCAGGCCTAGGGAAGCCAGCAGACATAATAAGACACACATCTTATGAAAGCAGTAGTGACAGAACAGCCCTCGGTGTTCTTTGCCTCAGTCCCATCACATGCTGGCGCTGAACACTGCCTGCAGACAGGGTTTGGTGCCAGTTCAATGCGTTGCAAGAGACTAGTGGCGAGGCATGCCAAGGAGCTGCTGCCACCAGCACCAACTGGAGGATTTGCACACAACAGTCTGGAGAGGAAAGGTTGAACTTCTGTAGATTTGCCTTTTTCTTCCCATCAGAAAAAAAAAAAAAAAAAAAAAAAAAAGAGAGAGAGAGAGAAAGTACCCTTTTTTCTTTAGTGAGAAGGGAGAAAGGGAGAAAGGAAATGGTAGAAGGAGAATAAACTAAGTAAAATTTCCCAAGTCAGGACTGTTTTGGCCACAACAAACAGCTCCCAGACTCTCTCCCACTTTCTCCCTAACCCCTTTCTGGAAGGTAACTAAACTCTAATGGGATCAACAGAGAACCCATCAGAACAATCAAACCTTTTGCAGAGTGGACACAGGAAATTAATTAAGGGAAAGCTCATGGGCTACTGTAGGTGTAAGATCGTGGATCAGTAAAATGCAAAAATTCATTCAGGGAAGGTGACGTTAACCATGCATGAACTAATTATGTTGGTGAAAGCCGATGTGATAAACTAGTGCAAGAGGAGTTAGAATTTATTTGTCTGCTGCATTTAGCAAACATTAGCTAATGAATTATTTAGGAGGCAGAGAGATCGCTTCTGATTTGGCAATTGAATTGCACTGGCAGCATTCAGGAGGTGGGAAAGAGAGGTCAAACGGCTTGCCCAATTCCACAAAATAAAGCAGCAGTAAGACATAGGGCTAGAGTCGATATTTGTGCTAAAGAAGACGCACTGTGGTGAGATGGGATGGCTGAGTGATGAGCATGTGAGTCTAACAAGCCCTTACCGCTTAGGGGGTTAGCAGATACTAGAGGTACAAGGCTGGAGATGGAGAGCAGCAGCTGATGCATCTCCTGCAGGCTGCCAGCAGCAACACAGCAGGAAATTCTTCCCCGAAGAGGCTGTAACTTAAATAGTGTTTTAAGCATCCACATTTGGCATTGCTATAACGTGGTCAATACTGAACTGGTTTTATAAGTTTCCTATTTCTCACAGAAAGTTTAAATGCATAGAAAGGGGGATGAGTCATTCTTATCAATAAATA